AGAAAGAAAGAAAGAAAGAAAGAAAGAAAGAAAGAAAGAAAGAAAGAAAGAAAGAAAGAAAGAAAGAAAGAAAGAAAGAAAGAAAGAAAAATGACTAGTGTATGGACTCAGGGAATCAGATCTCTCTTGCTCCTCTGTCATCCCCAGGAAAGACAGACCCCATTAGAGGCAAGGCTGTCAGGGCTATTCCATCCGTGGCAGATCCAGTGAATCCTGACCATCTATCCCCAGTGACATCTATTATCCCTGGTCAACATGGCATCTTAAGGCTTCCTCCAGTGCGAAGACGGCTCATGACCGATGCAGGCATTTTTGCCTTTGGTTCCTCTCCCAGTCCAGGTTCCACTAACAAATGGGTAATCCAGTGATTTATTTATTACTGCATTCCCTATGACCTCCCAGAAGAACCAGAAATACCTATTGCTCATCTTCACATTTACTTCAGATACTAAAATGATGAGCAGGATTAATTTGACCCAAAGCTTAGCAGGACACCTGGTTCTTTTTGTTCCCAGCAGCCCAAGAACTTCCTTCTAATTTAATCCATTATTTTCCAAGGAGCATGTTGTCCACAGCAACCACACTACCAAGGGTGGACAGTGGAGATGGCCCAGGTGACATCATTGTCAGTAAGTGCCAAAATATGTTAAGCTAGAGATTTTCATCACAAAAGCTGGAATGAAGACAGAGCAGCTCACAAAAATTCATTTCCTTGAATCAGGGCTTATTTTTCTGTATAAAAATGCAGCTGTCCAGATACTCCACATCAGATCTGCGAGACCAGAGAGCTGTCTTTTGAGGTGAGACTCTCTACTTGTATCTTCTTCTTATCACCAGTGGTATTTGATGTTGATCAGAACCTCTTGACAGTGTAGATATTCTTGTTTAAAATTCAATTTCATATTGTAATTAAGGATACTAAAAAGAGATCTTTTTTTACTTTCCACTTGATTATAGCTAGAAGATGGAGGTACAGAAACAGGGAGTGATTTTTTTGATGAGTGCTATTAAGTTAAAAAAAATATATGGATTACATTTCATGTCCAGGATATCTGATATCTTAATTGTTATCTTACATTGATATCTTAATTGTTCCTCTATTTTCATTCAGAATTTCCAGTATAAAAGGCACTGCTCAGGGTAATTTGGATGCTATGAAGTTAAAATTATTTTTGGTTCTGTGAGCCTATAGTCCATAATCGATGGGAATCGTTTTCAAATACACAGCATGGCAAGTGATTGTAGAAAGAGTAAAGCAAGGAAGGTGCTGTGGGAAATGAGGGTAATGTAGAGTCTCCAGAGAGCACTGGGAAGGAGAGCCATTACGTTGAGCATGCATGGAAAGCAGTGATACAATTCAAAGACTTTCAGAAAGTGTGTGCAGAGGGGACAGCGTGAACTGAGGCACAGAAGTGGATCATGAAGGGCTCAAGGGAGGCCTATATAGAGCATCTATAGAGAGCTACAGCTCTCAGTGAGTGGGCATGAGGGGAGTTGGAGAACCTAAGGCCTGACATCAATTTAAAGAAGCTGCTGGTGAATTCTCTTGGTGATGTAGGCATTTAGATATACTAGAAAGAAAGAAAATGAAGAAAAGGGGTCCACTCCCATGCAACGGCACAAATGGACTTGAAGCTTCTCCTCTTGAAAGTGCATAAAGATCATCAAATTTTCCTTTGATATTAAATTCAGGGAACAGAAAGAAAGATCTCACTCCTCAAGGGGCCATTTGATGGATGTTTTAGGATTGAATTTAGCTTCATTTCTGTTTTTCCCAATCAGCTTTTCTTTCTCTAGGTCCAGCATCCTGAGAAGCATGAGTTCCTACCAGCAGAAGCAGACCTTCACCCCACCCCCGCAGCTCCAACAGCACCAGGTGAAACAGCCCTGCCAGCCTCCTCCTCAAGAACCTTCTGTGCCCAAGGAGCCCTGCCACCCAGAGCTTCCACAACCTGGAAACCCCAAGATTCCCAAACCAGGAAGCACCAAGGTTCCTGAACAAGGTCAAACCAAGGTCCCTGAGCCAGGCTGCACCAAGGTCCCTGGACAAGGCTACACCAAGGTCCCTGAACCAGGCTGTACCGAGGTCCCTGAACCAGGCTGCACCAAGATCCCTGAACAAGGCTACATCAAAGTTCCTGAACAAGGCTACACCAAGGTCCCTGAACAAGGCTACATCAAGGTCCCTGAACCAGGATACACCAAGGTTCCTGAACCAGGTTACACCAAGGTCCCTGAACCAGGATACACCAAGGTCCCTGAATCAGGCTACACCAAGGTCCCTGGACAAGGCTACATCAAGGTCCCTGAACCAGGCTACATCCAAGTTCCTGAACAAGGCTACACCAAGGTCCCTGAACAAGGCTACATCAAGGTCCCTGAGCAAGGCTACACCAAGGTCCCTGAACAAGGCTACATCAAGGTCCCTGAATCAGGCTACACCAAGGTCCCTGGACAAGGCTACATCAAGGTCCCTGAACCAGGATACACCAAGGTTCCTGAACAAGGCTACACCAAGGTCCCTGAGCAAGGCTACACCAAGGTCCCTGAACCAGGTTACACCAAGGTCCCTGAGCAAGGCTACACCAAGGTCCCTGAATCAGGCTACACCAAGGTCCCTGAACAAGACTACACCAAGGTCCCTGAGCAAGGCTACACCAAGGTTCCACAGCCACATCCCTCTAAAGTCACTCCAGTCCCAGGTCAACAGAAGACCAAACAGAAGTAATATGTTCTACAGCAATGCCCTTGAGGAATCGACCAGCAGATGCTGAGATACCTCTTCTCATCAGTTTCTGTGTCTTAATTGTTCTTAGACTTGATCATCAGAATGTTGTCACTCTGAGTCACAGTCACTATGTTGCTAGTCTCCTAAAAATATGTGCTAGGAAGTTTTTCCTTACACACCCTCAGAAGAGTCCTCTGAGCCTCTGGATTAAGTAGAAGGTCTTAGTGACTTTTCTAATCTCCTGTTGCTTAAGGGTCATCTGAAGAAGGATTCTGGATTGGAAGAAATGCATATTTCCTGCTTGCCCTCATTAAAGCACTTTTAACTTAACTCTTGTTTTCACGTGTCATTGACTGAATATTTCTTCTTCCTGTTCTCTCATCATGAGTCAGGACTTGCAGAGAGAAGTTGGTGCAGATATGATCCTGGTACTGTATGGTTCTATAGGGGTGTGGGAATACACATTGGAGGCAATCCTAGGACAACAGTAAATATTGTGAAATAGCCCAGAGCCTGTCACTTTGGGCAGCTAGCTACACCTGGAGCAAGGCTCTCCTGTTGCACTGGACTGAGTCATACCTAAGTTCCACAGTGTTGGCTCTAAGCCTGCTCTAATATTCAGGTTCCTGCCCACCCATCTCTTGTCTATTCTGAAAAGAAATTATTCCCCCATACTTGACCCTCATATCTGTTTTTCCTTCATTCAATTTTCCTCTTAATTACCCCAACACATGCAGATACATATGCTGCTATGGAGGCACACTTCTACGCTAACATAACAAACGCCACCCTTATTAGCTCAGGCAATATTGCCTTTCACTGGACGCAGGGGGCAAAGCTGTATCAGCAAGAAAAAGAGGAGGATGCACAGTGTTTCTCCTTGGAGAAGTATTAGTCTTCTCCAGGAGTCATGACATCCATGCCCTTCTCATATAAACGTATACACACTATGCTATCTCAATCTTTCTCTCCCCACCTCTCTTTTTCTCTGTTTCTCTCTCCTTGAATAACCTGTGAAAATGGATTAATCCAGTGATTACAAATAAGAGGATAATAGGGAGGGGCTCAGGAAAGAAGCACTTAACATATACAAGAATGCAAGATTCTTTGTTGAAAATGATGTATATTGCAATATCCTTGATTCAATTATCACACACTGCATGCATGCTTTGAAAAACCATAGTGTACATCATAAAGATGTACAATTAAATGTAAAGAAATTATAAAATAAAATAAAATTGGAAAGACAAAAGAAATAAGAAAAAATGAACTATTAAAGAAAGTGATGAGTTTCTCACTGAGTTTTATGCCTAAAGTCAGACATTTGTTCATAGACAAGCTTATATCAACTGCACTTACTATTTATTTTAATTAAGATATTTTGTAAATAAAAAAAAATGTGGAAAAAAAAAACATGGAAAGCAACTGTAGATACCAGAGACAGTGTGGAAGGAGAGTGGGAAATGGCAGAGGGTGAGAGGGAGGGAATCAAGGGGGAAAAAAAGTCAAGTCATTAAGCTATAAAATCTCAGGACTGAATAGAGACTTCAAAACACCTACTACAGCCATTCTGTTTTTTTCAAATAAAGAAAAATATACACAAAAAGATAATTAAAGTAACCCAGAAATTATATTTTACATCACACCCTGAAGCAAAATTCCCCAGTCCCCAACCCCTCCCTCTCCCTTGAAGCCTGTCCTTCTTGATTTCTGAGGTGGACCAGCAGGTTTGCAGATCTGTGTTGAGAGATTCTAGGATATCAGAGAACTATTCCCAGTCACAAAGAAGACAATGCATGATTTTAGAAGGACTTCAGTAGTTACTGGAAAACAAATCTCATCTCTTGATAGGTTGTGTGGTCCATGATATCAAAGGTGTGTGAGGCAGGTGACGAGTAGCACCTGCATGATTCACAAACACTCCAAATAGGAGTGGCAAGAGCTCAGAGATATTTGGAAATTACAAGACAAAAAAATTTCCAGAGAATCATTACAAGGTGATGCTGTCAAACCAGCAGGAGAAAATGATGTCACTTTTGTCTGTTAGGTATCACATGCTGACGTGGCCTTGCATTATTACTGAGTGCAATGATGGAACACTAGAAATTACTCCACGTAAATTACAATTAGATAAGCTGATACTGGAGAGGTAAATGGGCTCCGACACACAGCTATCATGAATGTAGTGCAATGCACATTCGTTATTCCTATGTTCGGGGTTGCTTTCTTAAAAGATATTTTTCATTGTGGAAATTACATTATTTGTACATAAACATAATACTTCCCCATTTCAAGTTTTTTTATATTTATTTATTCCTATTATAGTCTTTTTTTAAGTTTGTTATATGGCTCTCTCTCACCAGAGAGAGACAGAGAGAGAGAAAGTGAGAAAGCAAGCTACCAGGTCTGGGATTCAAACTGCAGTCAGCCACATGGAAGTCCATACCTTAACCATCATACCACCTGCTGGCTCCGCGAGAATATTTGTATTTCATATTTTCTTACTTAATTTAATTGTCATAAATTTTTATGGCATTCAATAAGGCTTTTCAAAGCATGCATGCAGTGTGTAATAATCAAACCAAGATTTTTTAAGTGTATAATATCTGACATTAACTTTATTTACCGTATTGTGTATCTTTGTTAAAATGTATACATGTCTATGAGTTTATAAAGAAAATAAAAGAATATAATCAGGAGGTATTTCTGGCTACTTTATGTTAGTGTGTTTTGATTTGTTTGTTTGTTTATTTGTTTTGTTGTTGTTGTTGTTGGGTTTTTTATTTGTCTGTTTTTGCTATAAGGTCCCTGCACTCACCAGAGAGATGGACAGAGAGAGAGGGGGGGAAAATACAAGTCACCTCCCAGGGGTGATGGCTACACTACAATTCCTTCTCTTCCATTCCTCCATTCTCCTCCTGGGATTTTGGGCATGCACTCATATGTACCCAGAGTAATCTTCAAACCACCAGGTCTGGAAGTTGAACCACAGAATCGATCATATAGAATCCAGTGCCTTAACCTCCACACTACCTATGGTCTCTAGTGTGCATTTTTAAATAACTCTGTGTTTGTTACATATATATTATATTGTGTTGTTTTACTTTCATTTTCATAACTTTATCATTTTTTAAAAAATAGGGGACAGTCAATATGTTGCTGAACTAGAGGAAATACATGTTCTTTCTATTGGAAATCTGCTTGAGTCTCTGCACAGACCTCATAAGAGCAGACCAAGTGTGGGGACCCTACTTCTTTGTTGGGTTCTCTTCTCCACACACATCTTTAGTTCAATTCCCAATCTTCTATTAGGGACCCCTGGATTCGCCAATGCCCACTCACACTGGCAGCCCAAAGAGTTCACATTTTGCCAGCTGACTTGATATCTGATGCCATCATTGTTAAATGAGGTATTGTCCCTTTCTTATCTCAACTTCTTACTTTTCTTCATCTCTTCTCCTCTTCTGTAACTTGACAGGATTATTCCTCAATAGGGTGGTCAAAAGGTCAGCACAGGCAGAGTCTTACTTCAGTGTGAAGAACTTGAAGTCCAAACTACACAGTTTGACAAATTTCAAGTCCACAGTCTGATTGCTAACAACTTGTACAGATAATTAAACTTGCATTTGATTTGGTTTTTATTGATGATTTCTTCTTGTTTTCTATACCTTAATGTTTCTTTTCCTACTGGGACCATGACCTCCATAATACTGAGGGGGTATAAAAGCACTTTTCTTCTGGTTTAGATAAACACTGGTCATTAAAGGAGTTCCTTATCCATCCATGTTTCTGACTGAGAAAACTCTCATGGTGGGCCCAGATCTGCCTCTGTCCAGATCTATAGCCAGTCAGAGCAATTGGCCAGATATGCCAAAGCCTTGCCAAACTGCCCTGCACTTGTGCACTTGCCATGGCATGCGCTCATCATGACCGAGATTCCCAAATTCACATGTGACTTCTCTGGACTGTAAGCACCATGAAGACAGGAACCTTTCCTGTCTTGCTCAGGGCTTTAGACTCGGCGTCCAACTGGTTGCCAGCCAAATGATAAGAATAATTTAATGTCTGCTGAGAGGTTCATACCCTCACCCAATGTGCAGTCCATGGAGGACAATGTTGCTATGACACTCTATGAACCCAAATCACCTCTGTCCTTGGAAGGACTTTGAGTTTACTCTTTCTCCAACCTCATAAACCTCCCTACACACCTAAAGTGGAAGAACTCAGAATTGTGAACAACCTGCTCTTCCTAGCTGTACCTTGGAAAGAGGTATTCTGAATGTTCAGGAGTTTAGGAACTCCTGTGAGTGGGTTATCTCTCCCAAATCTAACCAAGAGGCTCCCAAGTTAGAGTCTATCTATTTTCCATGTAAATTTTTTGGACACAATGAAATTGTCTGTTCGTGTTTAGGAACAGAAGATCTCACACAGTTCACTACAGAAAAAAATTATAAAAAGTGTGATAGAATTTTCTAGAGTTATGGGACAGAATTACCTCTTTAAGAGTTTTCAAATAGAGTTTTCATTTTAGACATTTATCTCTTCCCCAAGAGAGAAAATTCAAGGTTCAATGCAGTCAATGGATCTACTTCAAAGTCCAGAATTTCTGGCTGACACACGATTTTTCTCATCATCTCCTATCTATGTAACCCATCTTGGTCCAGCAAACTAGGAAATAAAAAATCCAATCTATTCCACCCAGTCACAATCCGGTTTGAAATAGTGAAGCAATGACTAGATAACCTCAGTAGAAATTTCCATGGGAAAAAGAGGAGAAAACCAGTATCTCACTCAGGGAATCTGCAGTCTCTGAGCAGGCATATTGAGGCCCATATTCCTATCAGGGAGTGCATGGGCTCCAGTCCCTGGGTGTTGGTTCTTTCTCATTAGCTTCTGCTAAAGTGAATTGTGTGTTCTCCTCTGGGGAGTGTAATTCTGGCTATACTTCCTACATGGATATTGTTTTACGACTCTAAAACACTCAGAAGCTTTTATAGTCT